GGGGGCCTGGCGCTGGGCCGCGCAGAGAGATGACGTCACGATCCCTGGGTGAGGGAGGCGCCTGCAGGGTGCCTGATGGGAACGGCGAGCTGGGGTGCCACATGGCTGCTTCGCCCGCAGTAAAGCTGCGGCGCGCACCTCCTGCTTGGGCTCTGATCATGGGTAGAGAGGACATGCTGTAGTGAGGAGGTTTACAGACCGCAATCACTCCCTGGGCTGCTCTCTTTCAAGCGCAATTGCTCAGCAGAAAAAGTGCAGAAAGCTGGCCTCAGTTTTTGCCCTGAAACAGTTTTTATGATGAGCTGATCTCCAGAGGTCCCTTCCAACCTAAACCGCTCTGTGATTCTGTCCCCTCTAGCACTTCATGGGTGTTACAAGAGAAGGAGGCACCATTTGTGCCTCCTGACTGTAGAGGCAAGAGAAAGCAAAGGTAGCACCACATGTGTTTGTGCTGTCAGCCCTGGGATAATCCAGCTAGGGGCAGGCGAAAGGAAGGGATCCCTAGGGAATGCTTCTTCAAAAGGACAGTGGGAAAAGGCTGGAGACTTCAGACAACACAGATGAGCATGCTATGGGATGGGAGCTCCAAGGACAAGAGGGAGTCTTGCTCTTTTCCTGGTACCAAGTTTGCCTTTGGAAGTCTAAGTATAGATGGAGATAGTGTTGGGGTCTAGCAGGGTTTGTCACTTAGGAGGCCAGGCGGTATAAGGAGTGAGATGTGTGATGTGATGTCCGTGAAAACCCCTGTCCCTTCCACCAGCCTGACCTCATGCCTCCCTCTCTTCATACTCTCACACATGGTTTAGTACACTTTCACATGGTCCAAGCAGGTAATATACAGACCTACTGTGAGGATCTGGAGAGTAGAGACTGAAGGAAGAGCTCCAGACCTTTTCCAGTGCCTTAGCAGTCTGACAAGATAAAAGTCTTGGTAAAAGACTTTGTCTTCCATTTAAACCTGAGAAAAAACTTCTTTACTGTGGGGGTGGGAGAGCACTGGAACAGGTTGCCCAGAGAGGTTCTGGAGTCTCCTTCCCTGGAGATAGTCAAAACCTGCCTGGACGCGATCCTGGGCAATGTGCTCTAGAGGACCCTGCTGGAGCAGGGGGGTTGGACTAGATGATCTCCGGAGGTCCCTTCCAACCTAAATCATTCTGTGATTCTGTGAAAAGGTTAGCAGTGTTAGCATGCCCAGCAAGAACATGTAGGCTTCTCCCATACTCTAATTGCAATGTGTTGCTTCCTCGCACTTAGAAAACAACTTAGCAAATTTTGCTCCCTTGGCAAATCACAGAGCGCTAGGAAGAGAACCTGCATTGAGACAAGTTACAGCTACGCAAATGTCTCTGGTTCCTGGGACTCGGTGTGCGTTGAGCTATCAGAGGAAATGTAGAGGTGGTCTCATGCAAAAGCCTTTCAAGCACCCACTGCCCACATGATCTGTGGGTCAGGGAGGAGCATGATGTCTGGTGTCTGGATGAGTGCTTTGGATTCCTGAGTTTTTGGAAAATGAGCTGCGATTCACTGTAAATTTACTGCTTGTTCCTGTCTTTTCTTCTGTGATATAATGCAACCTAACATAAATGGTATTTTTTATTATGTCACTTCAGATGTGAAAGATGCAGTCGGTGTGCTGCCTCTGTTTCCCCACAACAGGAACTGGAGAGATCAAAGAAAGCCCCAATGTCAAAGCTGCAAAGGGCCCTGTTACCTGGGAACAGGGTAGGCAAGAACACCACTTCTGTTTCTAAGCTGGATCGATATCCATCATAGACAGACTGTTACAACAAAGACACTGGTGTCCCTCTATTGACATCATTCAAGATTTGCCAAAGCAAACAGATGGAAATTGCAATCTATCTCATTTTCCACTTGTAAAAATACATCTGTATTGGAGCCGGTGATCTGGGACTCTCTCTAGTTCCTCATCTAAAACACTTTCTACTGTTTGCTTTAGCCTTTGATTTATGTGGTACTTCCTAGGAATTGCTAGCTAGGGGCAGCATGGCCTCTTCTGTACTGGCACCTTTGAGTGATACCATCCCCATTCAGATTCTCATGTGTCTTGCTGTTTTGACACTGACAAGGGGGCAGTGTACTTCCACCTACCCCTACATGCGTTTGTCACTCTTCATGATCCCATTAGCTACTGCAGACGTGGGTTTGCTCAGCCCCTATAGAAAGGTTCCCCATTGTTCTCTCAGCCCACACCTTCCAGCCACAGAGCATGAGGAGAGAAGGGAATCTACCTGGTGTTCCTCAGCATCGCTCTCTGCTTGTGGGAAAACAAGGCTTGTGGGCCTCGTTCAGTGGGGAAGGGGGTGATCTTCCTTGATGGCCTCCGAAAATGGAAGATAGACTGCGACTGGAGGCCACAATGAAGTGGCAAAGAGAGGAGATGCAGGGTAGCTTGCCAGTGGCCTAGAGATTGTGTCTTTCTGCAAACAAGACTTGCCCAGCCAGCTTGCACAAACTGTGCATCAGATCCAAGGCTCAGTGGCTGACAGCAGCCAGGATAGGCCCATGGAGTGAGGCCCCATGCAGAAGACAGACTCCTTGTGCACTCGTGTCCTGGCACACAGAGACCTGAGCTGACTGCTTGAAGCTTGGGCCAAGCCTGTTGCTCCAACACACAGATTATCTGTGGCTCAATCCACAGGCTTGGGGTCAGACTTCAAGGACAATTTTAACCCTTCAGTTCCAGGATCTTCCTTGCTGTAACCCTGACCTTGAGATGTGATGGGGATGAGGAGAGAGTAGCAACAGTTTTAACTTCCCCTGGAAGTAAGTGAGGAGTCAGTGAGGATGCTCAGCTCTGTATAGTGGTGGGGAGGTGAGCAAAGCAGAGATCCAAACTGATGGGCAGTGGGAAAATGCATGATCAAAATCTGTCAAGATAACTGTAACTCCCTAAGAATGCCACCCAGGAAAGACAAAGTGTGTATCAGGAGCCAGTGGCCACTGGAGACAGTCACAGGCCCTTGATATGAGTGAAATTCTGAGCATCTGAACCGTTCAAAGGTGAACTATTAGGGTTCCGGATGATCAGTAGTACAGCTTCTTAACAGGGTGAAAGGAGGAGCTTTGAAAAAAGCTTCTTCATATGTGAAAAATGTGCTTCCCAGCCAAAAGCCATCTGTGAAGCCATCAGAGCCCACTCCCCACCTGCCACTGACAGCAGAGAGCACCAAAGGAATCATGGACCCCAGCTGCACAATGGAATTTAGGTGAAATTTAGGTGTCATCCTCTGTCATCTTACTTAACAGGGCTAGGATGTGCTAGGACCTGCGTGTGTTGAAAGCCCCCAAACTCTCTGCATGTATCTGGTACCCTGCTTTTGTGTGTGCTCAAGCTGCCACCCTTCTCAGCACCCATCTCCAGCCTCTGCTGAGGATGTGCAACCCTTTGTTGTTGTCCTAGCGCACCTAACACATGCCAACAGTGCAGAGCATGAATCTGAATGTTGTGGTGAGATAGGGCACTGCTGTCTGAGCCCTGACAAGGTCTAACCATCACCCAACAAATAAATACCATTTTCCTGCAGCAATGTGCATCAGGATTGCTAGAAAAAGAGGCTTCCCAGAAAAATCAGCATCTTACTATGCAGCAGAAGATGTGAAAGCACTTATAAGAACATGCCCCCTAAAAGGCTGGGCTCTAGCTGGATCACAGTCTGAGATAGCTCATGAAGCCTAGAGTCAATGGAGTCTGCAGTTGTTCCTGTTTTCGAGGTAAGAACTGTCTGACCCTCAAAAGCGCAGGCGCTCAGTGTGCCAGGGAGAGGTG